AAACAGAGAAGTAACAATAGGATAACACTTTTCAATATACCGGAAAAGTTGCGTAATTAAAGGCACAAAAAATTTATTTATTGACAACTTACACTTTGAATTAAAATAGTGAAATGGTAATATTGGTTATTAGTGGTGACTTATTAAAAGACTATACATCTAAACCAAATAAATATAAATTTTTGACTACTGGGAATGTTAATTTTTAGTTATGGAATGTTTTTAAATATTCAACTATAAAAAAGAAACAATTCGATTTTATGAAACTTCGTGTAGGGACATGTCACTAAATTCGTGAAACGAAGTTTTATTTAGTTAGAATTATTGAATGTGAAGATAAAGAACTGACTGGTTAAGTTGATAATGTGAAATCGATTTCGTTTTGAATTAGATAAGGCTGTCTCTAGGTGCTATAGGCTTAGACCCCTAAAGTTAAATCACATCGTAGTTTTTGGATGTAGTACGGCGACGTGTATCTTAACGTAAAAATCAGTATTTCTATATGAAAATACGATGGAACCAAGTGTTGCTATTGGTTCTAAGTTTGCTTCTAAAACGAGTCCAAGAAAACTCCCTCCTCTACCTATCGTAGATAAAGACAATAGAGCTAGTGAAAAGTTTAAAACGTCATCATCTATATCAAACGTTAGTAAATTAAAGAAAGGCCTTACTTCAGATCTTGATGATGAAAACAGTGAAACTGCATCGTGTAGACCTAGTACAACTACTAGTGGCTCTGAGTATAACTATAATGGTGATGTTGAAGTTGTGACTGAACATAACATAGGTAAAAAGAATATTAAATCACGGATTAAGGAAGTGTTATCAAAAGATGGGAATGAGGTTACTGCTTCCGAGAAGAATAGGCCTAAACGGATTCATCAGAGTGGAAGTGAAATTCAAGATTTTGCTCCACACGTACAAGATGAAATATTATTAGGGCATCACCAAGACACGGACCTTCATTTGGATCACAAGTTACCTGCAGCAGAGCCTGATGTAATTAATACAAAAAACAATAAAACCAAGAAGATTTCTACAAATAAACATTCCAACGTTTCCACTGGGGAACATCAATCTAACAAACCCACCTTCACAGATGCTGATGAACAAAATCCAAATTTTACACCCAGAAAATTAAAGAAAAGAAAAAGAAATAAAGAAAATGATTCCATGACAAAACTCAGTTCGGATTTTTGTAACAAGTCAATATTAGAAACAACAGACATGTCAGTGCTTGAAAGTGATATTTCTGAATGTGAATATCCAGCTCAAAGACAAAGTGGTGTAGGCCTAAATTTAAATCAAGAAATTTGCAACATCAGTCATCCAGTTAATAAGCTTTTTGTTGAGCAAGAACGTAAGATGAAGAAATTATTTTACTTAATATTAGTAGTAAATGTAGTCTTTAATATTAAACTTCACTACTGTTTTAATTTAAAGTCCTGGCAAAATATTACTGCAAAGTCAAGCTGATAGTGGTAGTGGAATCTGTGTGGTGATAAAATTTTTCCATGATACTATTGATAGTATAAAATTAGATACTGTTATTAATACATTTTAATTTTATGTGTGGGTATATAGACGGGGAGGGATGGGGAAGTCATTCTCAATCCAAAACTTGGAACTGTCAGAAGACTCCTGGCTTGTTAGTTAACTAGAAAATATAGCACATTGAACTAGAACTTGTCATTTGATGTACATCTACTTATTACAACTTAGAGGCAATAGTTAAATGACAGAAAGCCTTGTATCCAGGGTGATAAGAACACTAAAGTTGATGTTATTTCTCTTGTACCTTTACATAATAGTAGAGAAGTATTTTAGATAAGATATGTAGCTCTTTGGTAATACTAATAAATAGGCTAAATTATTAATACTGTATTTATTTCATATTGTTACGTCTCTGGTCATTTGTTAATTCCCTGTATAATTTCTTTCAGATGAAACTTTAGCGATACAACTCCTTTCTTAAATAAAACTAGTTTATTCTTTCTCAGTACAACTTTGCAGTACACTTAATTTGCACAGTCACTTTAACTTAAACACACGCTATAATTCACAACGATTCACGGACTTCACTTACGGTCACTACCGCGCTTGAGTCAATTGTCTGTCTCTACCTGTCTGCAATTATCTATGCCGTCACTTCATTTTCCCGGCTTATATATACAAAAATAGAGGGTGTGTAGAAAAGACTAGAGTTGCCAGGAACAGTCATGATCCTTCTAGAATCCCATGACGTGTTACTAGCATCACGTGACTTCCACTGTCGTAACAATATGCTATCTTTTCCATATTTCTAATTCAAATCACATAAACTTCTTCAGTGACATTTTAAAACCTGAAAAGAGACTATTTAACCTTCAAATTATTGGTGACGTTTTCTGTACATGCACCAAATTGTTTGTGTGTTCAGGACATTATGGGATATTCCTGATAATTGGTCATTAGTTTAATGCAGTCAAGGGCTTGGAATTTCTGTCACTGTAAGATTCTGAGAGTTATTTTTTTAATATTTCCCTTAAGAACAACATTTAATTGATATGTTACTTTGGACAACTTTGTAATATGTTAAGCAAATATTGTGAGATACATGTATATATTTCTAAGATGGTGCATGAATGACATGTTAAATACATGAGTCACAACAAGGATGTAACTCAAAATACCATCAACATTGTCAGAAATCCCATCAATTACTACTTGGATACACTCTCTATCTTAAGAAAGAAAAGGAGTGGTTTCATCTGATTGTTTTACTCAGTTCTTTACGTTAAGTATTGTAACAGACAGTACTCAATACAATGCAGTATGGGGACTCAACCCATAAGAATAAGTCAGTAATAAAAAATTGAATAAAACTTATGTTTCAGACTTTCACTGAAGTTTATTTAAGTTGAAAAGATATCAGTTTAAAGCATTTTCTTCATTTCATTGTTCTATCAAAGTTTCTAAATTTGAACAAAAACCATGCTTAGACTACAAGTTCCATTAATTATGTATTGCATTTATTTCTTAACATTGTTAAAAGAAAAATAGATGAGTTTAATACAGGTTTTATTGTTTCAGTTAATCCATATTTTTAGAAAAACATGTTAAAAGTTCAGAAGGTAAAGGTTTCTTTAGTATGGACAAATACTTCTAAAATCTCAGTAGCCATGTAAATTTTCTATTAGCCAGCTAAAATTGTCTATCAGAGTTTTTCTTACCCATCAGGAAGATGTGCCCAACAACATCTTCCTCAGTAAAAAATGGTGATGAAAAAGCATTTAGATGTTTTGTTATCTTGTAATTGTAATCAGGAACAGTAACCTTCCCATTCTCATGCTAATCTGATAGGCTATTAATGTCAGACACCACTTGATAGTGAAATGTAAAAATTTACTAGCCTTTTTTAAAGTTATACAGGAATACAGTTACATAATTTTTTGTTTATATGTGTGACCTTCAAAAAGCTCCTATAGAATTGGCTGTTTAAGCATTTTATCTAAAGTCTTTGAATGAGCTATTTGACACTTAACTTATCCTGTTGAATCAACCAACCAGTACAGTTTAAATGTGGATATTATTCAATATTAATAAGTGTTTCAGTAGAATTTATTTAAAATGTTCTTTATTTTTTGTAGTTTATTTGCACCTCCTCGAGACTTCAAGTAAAGCAAAGGATGTAATGTGATAGTACACCCATTATTGGATTATGCATATGTTAGTACTTATTTCATTCGATTCACATATGAATGCTTCATTTTCTTGATTAAAGATCTTTTCAGGCATTTTTCCAGGAGAAGCTAAATAACACTTGTATTTACCACTTTTACAATAGTATGTACTTGTCCAGCAGAAAAACATTTTAAAATCTAATTACACCGAGTATATACAGTTGATAAATTTCAAGAACCTTCGTCATATAGTTGGTAGACTATATTTAGGGATGGCCATGTACTCAATAGACATAATACAAATACTCATGCTAGAAAATCAACAGCGACAGAGAGTTTCACTTTAAAAGATAAATTATAATGGAATTCTATGGCATTGATATAGTAGAATATATTATGTATAAGCTGAACAGTGTTGACTAACAATATGAAGAATTAACTTGTGGCGAAATGCTACAAGTTCTTCAAATACATATAGAATGATAGGTTTCTTTTTTGTGAGTGTAAAACACTTAAATACACCATTGATATAGTAATTTATGATTTTTTTGGTTATTTCAAATGCATATATAAAACCTAAAAATAATTATTTCGTTTCACATCCTCCATGTGTAAAATTTTTAAAGGCTTAGCAACCAAGTACAAAGGTCATAACTAGAAGAGATAATTGTTTGCTTTACTTCTTTAGTTACTGTTCTATATTTTAGGAACAATAACTTTAAGAACTTATTTCAAAATAGCAATAATCTATATACATATATAATGTATAATAATTGAAATTTGACTGTATTTTACAAAATACTAGTCTACTAAAACACAGCCAAGACAGGTTACTTTGTAAAGACCAAAGGTCAGTTTTATATTATTGGATATGGTAACATGACTGCACGTGTGCCGTGTCATTGTAACTTCAGTATTGTTAGCCAGGCATGGCTGAAAGGTCAATATAATAAAAATAATAAATATATATAAATGTATAATATTATGAGATTTAAGCTGTTTAGACTAAACATTTCTGTGTTCATGTTATAATTTGTGTTCATTCTAGAATGAAAAAGGCATTAATTTATATTTATTTTCTAATTTTTATGGCAGTACGAGATCAGTCAAATTGACAAAACCCGTACAGAGAATCGTTATTGAAAATAACAGATAAAATATAAAAAAAGTTTTTCTTAAGAAACGTTTGATAACTATCTGGACATTACAAAAATTTCACATGTGAAATTTGAAAATTATCTGATGCATAAAAGTATTTTTAATGTTAAAATGAAAATTACTTTGCATGTTAGATAAGCAACATGTGTAAAGAAAAAAAGCATGAGAAAAACACTGCTTAACAAACCTTGAGACTCAATAAAAAAAATCTAATATCTTGTGTATGAAAGCCTTGTAATGTTTACTGATAATCTGCCATATTTCGTGAACATACATTTACTAATTTAAAAGTTATAGCATGAAAACTATAAGAAGCACAATTTGGTTACAAGGTCTGTTCCAGGGACAGAACCCATGCTGAAAGAGTTAATTAATATATGTACTGTATGTTACCTCAAAAGCCAAGTGATAACGTAAACAGTTTAATACTGTTGTGAAGTGTCTTTTGTTAGCAGATTTTATTAAGTTTATGATTTAAATGTTTGAATGTATAAAGTATCTAAGAGTTCCTAACAGCTGCATGAGGTGAGGAAAAGTAGCTAACAACATTTTAATCAGCTTTTATTTAATGACAAAATGTTCTTTTTAAATAATATTGACATACAACAATATTTGAAATGTACTGTAATTTATGTTTTGTAATTGATACACAGGTGGGTTTACGGCTGTAAAAAAGGATGTCATCGCTCATTCATTTCTACCAACTTATAGTCCTGGGAATCAAACTGCATCATTCAGTTCTTCAGCGGCTGGTTTGGCTGCACATAGTCAAAAACTCTTTCAGAGATTTTCTGTGTTATGCCACGGATTTCTCGCAGGTGTTGCACTGTGGCAGTGTGTAATTGTTTATCAGATCGGACCTCCGATATTTGACTCTTCAGACTTTATTACTCATTATGCTTCCTTGGCCAAGCCATTTCAGACAATGTTCTATTTTCTCCTAGCAATTTGCATGCTTTCTGCTTTTGACAGGTAAGCTAAAAGTTAAGAAAATGAAATTGGTTTGTTTTTAAACAGAAATGTGTTATTGATCTTTAAAAAACTACGCTTGTTCTTGTACATACCCATGCTATCAGTAATAGAAGATACTGTCATTCAGTTTAACTACGACTTGTTTCAATGTTAGAATCTTCTACCTCAACTAATTCTTTCTTTACTGGTTGTGTCATTTAGAGAAATAAAACTGGCTGGTGAATAGTAAGTAAAAGTCTTGAAGGATCCATTTGATTCTAAGATAATACTGACAAGTAAAGTTTCAGATTTTAAACCACTGAGGTTTGTGCTTCTTAGATGAATATTTTAGTGAGTTTTATATTAAGATCCTAATGTTGTTCAGTAAAAAATAATTTGAATGTTTTTAAAAGCCTGATTTCTTAAGTTTGATTATTTTCAGATTACATTTAACATTGTTATTGAAGTCAAATCTTTCTGAAGCTTGTAAGTAGGATTATTACAAAATTCTGTAGTAAGTTTACTCTGTTTTATTGCTGTAAGTTTATTGTAAGGTTAACATTATATCCAAAGCACTCTCTAAATACACTTTAAAATATGTTTACTCTGTTTTATTTCTGTAAGTTATCATGAGGTTAGTAGTAGATTCAAAACTTGCTATGTAGAATATTTTGGAACATTTTTACCTCTGCAGTGTTTTGGTCTCCTCAGCTAAGAAAGGATATTGACTGATTGGAAAAGCTTTAGAGGAGTGCTTCTAGGATGAGTTTAGAGATTAAAAGGTTATCTTATCGGGATACATTAAGAGCTTTTATTTCCTTCTGAGGAAAGAAGGGTAAGAGGTGATAAAGTTTACAAGGTTATTGGGGGAATTGATAGGATTAAGGTCCCTTATTTCTTTGTGCTGTATTTTGAAGAAGAGAAGACATTAGTTTAAAATTTGGAGAAGATGGGCAAGGCTCCAGTTAAGAAACTTTTATAATTCTAGATGAAATGTATAGTATAACAAATAGGTGTAATTCACATAGCACATAACAGATGTTAAAAGACAGACAACATAATAACATCGTATTTGCACTTTTTAGGTCATTCAATGGATGTATAAATCATTAAAGTAATATAAACAGTTCAATATTGTAAACTAATGATGTTGAAATACACAAAACTAGCATTTTATTTTAAAAAATTGTTGCTTTTAAGATCATGCATCAACCCTCCACCAATAGGACTGCGACACTACTCCTATCGTAACTAGTACCCTCTCTAACAATGCACCTGTTTTATGAATGATGTAGGTTGGTGTGTCAGATACATATCTTTATAATCCTGTTCCCTGGCATCTGGACATTTTTCTTCATTTAGTTCTTCGTGGATGCATGTGTTTTCAGTTTAGGATGTTTTTGTTCAGTCTTGTCTCGGCTCTCTCTGTGTTCAGCTGAGTGGTCTAGACATTTGCTTGTCTGCTTCCTTCTCTGAGCTTTGCGTACACTTTTCCAGGGACAGCTGGATATTTATAGCTTCCTTACTGGCTCTATCTGCTATCCATACTCAGTTTCTTCTTTGGAAAGCTGCCTTTGTGTTTGCTTATCACAGTAGGGATTTCATTCATCATACCTGATCAATTTCTAGTTTTCTTGGTGTGTTTTTCATCTCAATTTTCAGTTCTTGGTTGGGACCAACCTTCTCCCTTTCCTTATTACATGTAAAGTTTGGGAACATGGGCTTCTCTCGCAGCCCTCGTTCCTCTTAGTTATGCCAACACGTGTCATCCTCTGTGAGTTTTGGATCACCAGGTCATGTCATGTTCAGGATCCCTTTTCTTTTTCCCCTGATTAACACTCTTTTTTTGACTGTTAATTAGATAGGATCACTATTGCTGCTGGGATTCCTTTTCCTTCTCAATCGGATTGTCACTTTTTGTTGATTCTTCGTTTTCCTTTTGGAGAGCATCTCTTGACCCTTGGAAGATTTGAGGGTGGGGAACTCTTTTTTAATCTGCTTTCCATATCATTCTCTTGACCATTCTTGTTGTTCATCAGACAGTACTTTCCATCCTACTGTTTCTTGGAGACAAGGTGGTGATGTTTCACTCTGACAATTCGACAGTAGGTTCCTGCGTCACCATGCATGGGGACATCTGGCCAAGTGTCCTTTGTTTTTGAACTTTGGATCCTCTAGTTTTCGGATGTAGTGTGTGCTTTGGGATGTCCCCAATTTGGACATTTTGCATCTCATCTGAATACACACCTTACACATTTTTGGTCTCCTGTTCCTCATTCCTTAGTGGGTGCAGTGGATGCTCTCTGTTGAGATTGGACAAGTCGTTCTCCCTCTACTGTTCACATATTCATCATGCTTCCTCATTTCCTCTCAGTAGTTCAGAGCTCTCTGTGTTAAGTTTGGCTGGTGGCACTATCTTGGCCGACTCGTACATGGTTTCCATTTCTGTAATGGTCTTTGGTATCACTTCCCCTTCATGTGCCCTATTCTTCTTCATTTGTCACACTCTAGCATGTGACATCCATCCATTCCATCTTCATGCTGGCTTTTATCTTGTCCTTCAACAGAAGGTCAGGTTTTTCCAGGCATATCGCTTCCTTGGTTTTTAGTCCAGTTTGTCTTTCCTCTTTGATGGTTTCCCAGAGTTGTTGATATACATCACACTGTTGATCTATACATCTAGGTTATCATCCTTTCATTACTCCCATTCCTCATGCTACCCTTTTCCACTTAACCTTCTAACAGAAACCTATCTTTTTTCCCTGTTGTGGGCTCTCGGGCAGTTTTTGTCAATTTTCCTTTTATTGGTTTTTCTTCTGTGTTACATTCTCGTTTTCTGGCTTCTCTCCAGGATTTGGAACCTCCATGTTGTCCTTTGTGCTTTTTATAATCCTCCATTGTAACCTTTATTGGCAGATTCGTTATTTTATTTTACTTGCTGTCCCTGTTCCTTATATTGTAAGCCTGTGGTCACCATTTTTTCCAACTTGTTTTGTGATCAGGTTTTGCTATATATATGTTTGTTATTTTATGCACTCGATTTTGGCTGCTCTGTAGATTAATTATGTTTTCACTCCTCTTTCTATTCCCTTATTCTCCAATCATTAGGTCCATTCTGCTCCTGTCTGATTCCCTTGCTTGGGCAGGGCTCTTAGATTTCTAACACACATACACTCTGTTCCTCGGTAATTATTGGGTCAGTTTGTTTCTTCATCGGAATCCTCCCCTTTCCTGGATATTTTCCCCCTTACAGGTTGGATTTGCCAGTCACTTCACCTGGCATATACTTTCTTTTCCCTGGATGTTTGTCATCTTTTTTTGTGTTTATTCTCATCAGATCTGTCACCTTACCATGTCCTTGGCTGTTCTTTTTCCATCTTTCCTGAGAGGATATCATTGGGACAGGTATATGAGCTACTCCATTTGTTTTTATTTCTTTACAGGGGTCTTTTGCTACATATGTTTTGGATCCTGTTCTGTGGCGAGTGGTGCCTGACCAGGTATACTTCGTATCAGATTTGCACTGTACATCCTGTGACCATGCTAGATGATTATAATGTTGAGGTGCTTCCTACAGCAGACCTGATGTACAGTTCAAGGTGTCACCAGGTGTTGCTTGTTTGACTCCATCCAATTGTCATCTGTGCATCAATATCGCATATTATATTTGAAACAATAACATGTCAAAGGATCATATTATGCACACTGATGAGGTGGGGGTGTTCCATATGACCAATCGTAGATATATCTTGTGGTCTTTTGCTTCATGGCCTGGAGTAGCCAGGTGGTTAGGGCACTCAACTTGCAATCTGCGAGTTGCAGGTTCATCCCACCAAACATGCTCGCCCCTTTCAGCAGCATGGGTGTTATAATGTGATGGTCAATTCTACTATTCTTTGGTTAAAGAGTAGTCTAAGAGTTGCCGGTGGATGGTGATGACTTCCCTCTAGTCTTGCACTGTTAAGTTAGGGACGGCTAGTGCAGATAGCCCTCTTGTAGCTTTGCACAAAATTCATAATAAACAAACAAACAAACTTTTGCTTCATAAATATGTTTGTCCCAGACTGTACACTCATGGACTTCATGGATAAAGCAGACAGGGATTACTGCCCATCTCTGATGCTCCGTAGCATTGAGTCTCTTCCTACCACAGATTTGATGTACAATCCCAGATGCTGCCAGGTGTTGGTTGTTCGACTCCGTCCACATGGTAGCTCTGCTTTTCAAAATAGGGTATTGCCGGTCACCCATTGCACTGTCTCTGGTGCTTCAGGCCTTTGGACTTTTAAATGCATTTTCTCCCCTTTTCTACTAGTGGAGTATGGGAATCCTTGCCACTTACTAGTTCCTAGCCACTGGGGTGGTGAACCTTAATGGCCAGTCTTCATTAGTGAAGCACAATTCCACTCAGTTGAGAGTAGAGCGGTGGCATTCTGCTGGTGTTGATGGCATAACGCCCTTCCTACTGCAGACCTGTGTTGGTTGAGGTCAAACTCCCATTTATAGACTGTTGTGGCCTAGCCACTCAACACCTAGTGGTCCCATTAAAGATGAAAACATTTTTGGGGTCTTTCCATGTTTCTACCATTTCGTTTTAGGGACACTTTACTCAAGGGCAAAGAATATATCGGACTTAGAAGTGGTGCAGTCTCCCACTGGTGTGATGTTTCTAATTCCTTTTCCACACAGCACGGTCTTTCTTTGAGCACTTTCTAAATGAAGATCATCTTCTCCCCGGCCCTCCACCAGTTCAGTGTGGGATCCTAGCTTTTCTTGAGAGGAGCTAAGATATTGTATGGGAAGTTATCATTGTCCTAAACTGAAAATTTATTGCCGAATATAGATACTTACCTTCTCTCAAATTTCCCACCCATCCTCCTGACTTCAGGTGTATTGGTCAACTTGGTTATGGCCAATTTCAAAGTGATTAACAGACAGGGCACAAGTTATGATAGGAGTAGTGTTGCAGTCCTATTGGTGGAGGGTTGCTGTATGATCATTTGCATGTAGATATGCAGAAAATGGGGGTTACAAGGCTAGTGGTTGAGTGAAAAATTGGCACCAATAGAGGGCATTACTAATCGAGAAAGCTTTTTGTGAGGGAGGTAAGTATCTATTCGAAAATACATTTTCAGTTTAGGCAAATGTTAACGTTGTGACAAATGTTTATATATTTTGTTGCAGATATGACATTGTTTGTCCCAACTGGTCATTTCTTTACAACTCTTCAGTTCTGAAGTCTGGAGTATTTGCCATATTGATCTATTGTGTGACATTAATTCTTTCACTGTGTATCAGCAACGTAGATGACAAGCTAGCTCTGTATGTCCACAATAACAACGCCACAAGTTGGAGAACTTTAGAAAATATGGTAAGTTTTTTAAATCTTTCAGTACAAGACCACTCTGTATGTCCACAATAACAACGCCACAAGTTGGAGAACTTTAGAAAATATGGTAAGTTTTTTAAATCTTTCAGTACAAGACCACTCTTCTTTACACTATGGGTCATGTTATTCATGTTAGGATATAACCTATACTTGTGATGTTTTTCTGGAGATTCATTGTATCCTTTGATATTGTCCTGTAAAAGTATACTGTTATCAGAAAAATATTTCTTGAACCCTAACGTTCTTTTAATATGTCTAAAAACTATTCTTTCTTTAAGAAACAAACTTTCCATTACTGTATTATGTTTTTTAAATTCAGAATTCAGGCAACAACCAGATATGATAATAAGTGTACTTCAATGCAATGTTACCCTTTTATTTTTCTATGTAAAAAGAGTTTGTTGTAAACTTGTTAGGATTGAGCTTTCTGTCATGTGATATCTTGATATCTTGACATTTCACCAAGTTTAGTTGAGAGCTAGGAACAGTTCTGAGACGTGGACTGAAATGCAGTAGAGTTTTATATATCTGTTAGCTTGAACAAACAAGTTCTTACATCATTTCTTGACATAGTGATATCTGTTAGCTTGAACAAACAAGTTCATACATCATTTCTTGACGTAGTAACATCTGTTAGCTTGAACAAACAAGTTCTTACATCATTTCTTGACATAGTGATATCTGTTAGCTTGAACAAACAAGTTCTTACATCATTTCTTGACACAGTGATATCTGTTAGCTTGAACAAACAAGTTCATACATCATTTC